ATAAGTTGACTCAATATAAAATTCTGTCTTCCGGTGATTTTGATTAACATCTGGTACAATTGGGTTCATCGTGTCGCTCCAGTTATTTTCTGAATACAAGTCCCCATAGCTTTCTCGACTAATAGCACGTGGACCACAATTTTGTTCGGGCTGACGTTTATTTCCAGAGCTAGACAGTACCAGTAGTGTTTCATTTAATTCTGGACTCTGGGCATCATCTACAGGATCTGGCTCCTGATCATCTGGTATTGTCACAACTTCATGTGCATTTAGCACAATATTTTCTTGCTCTGAGCTGGACACGTTACCAATATTACGTCTTCCTTCTGGTATATAGGGATTTGAATCCTGCACAGGATATGCTTCTGAAATGTCCATTACTGCACCATTATCTGCATGATAAATAGATTTATTTTCTGCTTGAATGCAAATTCTGCTCAAAACTGTTTCAAATAGCTGTTGTTGCAAGGCCAACATCTGCTGGTTCTGTTGTTGTTGAAAGGCTAACATCTGCTGTAATATTAACTGCAACTGTTCTGAAGAAATCGACATTTTTTTTTACTGCCAATAATATTAGCTCCAAGAATCACCGGCAATTATAACAGCTAATTTACTTCCAAAATCTGAGTCACCACTTGTTGTGTTATTATTATTATTTTGTTGCCAAAATCCCCGTTGCCAATTGTTATGATATTGGTATGTCTGGGTTTGCTATCACGCGACCTATCGACCAATCCGGATACGACTTATACGAATCTTCACACTAGGCCAACCAATGACGTCCAACCGGTGTGGGCAGTCTAGCGTCCTTATTGGTCCTATGTCCTACGAGCCTTTCCACTTGAGTCCAGAACACAATACCAGCTTCGAATCAGAGCAGATCGTTTATTTCAAACATACTCGGTTTATATATCAACCGGACAGACCACAACACACCATAAATTAGAATATAACATGTGTACACAAATGAGCCAAAAAGTGGCTGTGAACGAGGGAGATAATAATTAATAGACTGAACATAGATTAAGAACCGTAAATCGTATAATAATAAATTATAGTTCAAAATAAAGCTTATAATAAGAGGAATATAAATATACATAATCTAATTATTGAATTGTTATACAATAAGAATATTTATAGAATATTAGTCTACTAACAGTCTTCGTAAGTTACCTATAACTTAATCTTCACTGGGTTATAACACCTCCCCCCTTTTTTTGAAGATTCCAAGTTTAGATTCTGACTTAAAAAGAATTTTTTTTGTAACTTTGAATTCTCCAACATTCTCCTCCTCCTCGAAATAATGTTGGGTCCTTATGGCTCCAAATTACAAAGGATATTATTGGTGGCACAAAACGGTGAAGATGTAGCCCCGAAAGGGTGTACTTGCAACCCATAGACATCAGGGGGAGAGTCAAGATTACCATCAGGATGCCATAAAAAGCTGAAGGCTGTTGCATCCTCTTCAGGAAGACGTACCTGAAGGAACATTTCTTCAATGTCTGCTGACAATCCAATTTTATGTGCAAGATTTGGCATTGACGGCGGAAAGGGCTGCAAGGAAGGAAACATATGTCAACTGTATGACACGACAGAAGATACAGGTGTTTATTAACAGTTGTCTACGCAAAATACTTCGGATTCTTTGACTAGGCACTATTAGCAACAACCTATTGTGGGAGAGAACAAACCAGATTCCAGTGGAGGAAGAAATCAGAAAGAATCGCTGGAAGTGGATAGGACACACATTGAGGAAAGCACCCAACTGTGTCACAAGACAAGTCCTCACATGGAATCCTGAAGGCCAAAGGAGAAGAGAAAGACCGAAGAACACATTACGCCGAGAAATAAAAATAGACATGAAAAAGAGGAACAAGAATTGGATGGAATTAGAAAAGGAGGCCTAGGACAGAGTGGGTTGGAGAATGCTGGTCGGTGGTCTATGCTCCATTAGGAGTAACAGGCGTAAGTAAGTAAGTTTATGTTAGTCGAACAATTCAGGTCGGCATTTCGTCCCATCTATGACAAGGCCACTTTACAATGGGTCATGAGTCTTGTTAGTTTCTGCAGCCCCGCTACATCGTCCTGACTTAGTAGTGATCCGTTTAATAATTCTGTTAAAAATGCTTCTACGATATCATGTGGTCTTCCAGACTGCTTGTGTAGAATACTACGGCTACATATAATTCCAGTTTTTTACCCAGATGTCTGAACTTAATTTCCTTTTCAGATAGCGATGAGACTCAAATTTATGGACGACCTTTGGACGAATCTTAAGCGACCTTGAGAAATATTAGCCAATCAGCAAACAGTCAGTATAGAGTAAAAATATACTATACAAAACCAAGGAAATAAAGTGGATACACTTATACGTGGTTCAAAAACTTGTCAAGGTTAGAAAGAGGTTCACAGGTTCTAAAATCGTAATGCATACAATAGAGGAAATCATCCATATTGCTACAGAATAGTCGTCATCTCGAGTGATGATAGAGTCTCAAAAACTCTTTCAGCCTCGACCACATAGTTCCAATATTGTTTATGTGCAGTCCGGTTCACAAAATGCCACTTATGGATAACGAAACGATGCACATAACCAAGCCTATGTAGGAGTCTGTACGCTCTCCAAACACCCGTATATATTGTATTACCTGGCTGCAGCCAGTGTTACTTTTGCTTTTATTATCCAGTCAGCGATAATTATCATAATTTACCGTAGTTAGGAATTATATATGGGGTTTTCATCACGAACTGACATGAGCTGTAATGCCAGAAATTTATTTAGGCAAAGGCATGAAAGGCTTTCGTGTTAAAATCCGAGATCTATTATCTTATACCTAATCGATTCGTTCACATACTATATTCTCGCCGTTTTATTTGTTATAGCCGTTCAATTATCACTTTTTGTACACAATTCTCTGTGAACCGACCGTACGTTAGCACTAGGCACTGCAGTTGGCGCCGTAACCTGGAAGTCTCTAAGATGCCTCTGATTGGCTCGTCCATAAATTAGAGTTTTGCCACTAGTGATTATTTGGGTGAATTAAACAGTAAATGGGGTTCTATTTTCATTGAGTCGCCTTTATATTATTATTAAACCTGTTTTATGTCCACTGTCCTTATTCACTACCCCTTGACTCTTTTGTGAATTGTTTTATACTACTTATTACTATTGAGTAAACAGTTGTTTTTCTGGTTAGCGTCTAGTTGTCTACGCAAGGTACTCAACATCTACTGGCCGTATACCATCAGCAACATACATCTGTGTGATAGAAAAAAACCTACTTCCAGCTGAAGAGGAAATTAGGAAAAGACGATAGAAATGGATAGGATATACATTACGCAAATTATCAAACTGCATCATGAGACAAGACCTAACTTGGAATCCTGAAGGGAAACGGAAAAGAGGAAGGCCAAAGAGCATATTACATTGAGAAATAGAAGCAGATATGAAAAGGATGAATAACAACTGTAAAGAACTAGAAAGTATTGTCCACAATAGAGTTGGATGGAGAGTGCTAGTGGGTGGCCTTTACTCCTCCACGAGAGTGATAGGCGTAAGCAAGTAGACAGTTGTATTACTAGCAACTTCTACGCGTATGTTATTACACAATTATATCGTGTAAAATATTTACGTATACTTATAACATTCATCGTATTTATCGTTATAATTACTTTCCTTCAATCCTTGTAACAGTTATTTACAATTTATGTAATCGTTTAATCCTTTTTTAAACACAACAGTTTCCATATTTCATGCAGACAAGGAATGTGTCATCAATATATCTGCAATAGAGTGTGGTACCATCGATTGCATGCTTGAGCTTCTTTTGTCCCAGGTTTCCCATAAATATGTCGGCCAGAATTGGGCCCATATTGTTTGCTCTTGGTTCAGTTTTTTTGTTGTTGTTGTTGATAAACTGTCATAATGTTTAGACACAGAGAAGAGCTGTCATTTGTTCAATCGTATGTTGTAAATATTCTTTATGTCACTATTGCAGGAAGACCTCTTTATTTCAGACTTAAAGATGTGGTAAACGCCACAGATGAGTTGAGTTGAGTTTTATAACTGATTTTTGTATATTCTCCAATAATGGACGGCCTTTTTAGTCAAATCCTTGTTTTGTGAACTTCGATTTCGCACGTATTTTAATTGGGTGATATAGACACTTATTATAATATAAACAATAAAAAGGAACTACAAGATGATGAAGAAGATTTGTAGCTTAGGTGGATGATTTCTATAGTGTTTTGTTCTTTGAACTGGATAGTTTAATCATAGAGCTTTCATTGTTCTTCTGAACGATATCATCAGTACAAAATTCAAGTAGAAGTGAAGTGTTCAGATTTTTCAATTTCTCGAGTTTAAAGTTTGTACTGATGATGTCGTTCAGAAGAATGACGAAAGCTGCACGACAAAGCCATCCATCTCTAAGAACAAAACTCTATCAAGTAAAAGGCATTACACTCATACTGATGTATTTTGCAGATTTAGGAATTGATTAAGTGTTTCAGTGTTAAAATGATCTGATTCAATATTTGAGTCATAATTAATAAATATTTACAAAGCAGACGATACCTAATCTTTGTCTACTAATGACTGGATAGTTACTTGACGGTAAGCAATAGAAATTCTAGATAATAAATACTATGAAACTGGCAGTAACATCGCTGGAACGGAATAGCTATGAGAAAGGATTATCCAGGACAGAGTTGAATGGAGAGTGCTGGTGGGTGGCCTATGTTTCTCCACGAGGAGTCATAGGCGTAAGTGATTAAACAGTTGTATTCTAGATAATAAATACTATGAAACTGGCAGTAACATCCCTGGAAAAGGATAAATATAAGATCATATAATATCACGGAACAGTTAATCAGTGTTTACTGATATCCAATATTTTGTTTGATAAAAAATCAGTCTATGATCTTTAAACAAAATCTCAATTTATTTGATTGGTTTATGAAAATTTATTAATCCGGAGAATATTTCCATTTTGTTATAGATTGACATTGTAAAATAGACAGAAATCGATCACTGTTTCTTATCCTAGTTTACCACTTATCAGCAATGTAAATCTATGTTATGAATATGAAAATGATATAGTTATCAATAATTCTCGAAGATAATCGTTATATCCTGATGAGAATAAGGAATGGTAACTGTTGGCAACCATTTATGGACTAATACAATACACATGTTCAGTAACCAGATTATATTCCTTCTATTATAAGCTTTATTTCAATCTGTAGACTATTAGTATACGACTTACCGTTCTTGAGTTATACCCAGTCTATTAATTAAAGTCTCCCACATTCACAAACATATTTTGGCTTGATCTTGTACAAATGTTTCCTATTTTATGATATGATGTGGTCTGTTTGATTGGTATATAAACCCAGTATGCTTGAAATACATATCACAGTGGTTGTAATTGGTGTTCTGGACTCAACAGGAATAATTTTCAATAAAGACTGCTCGTATGGTTTTATGCATCATTGGTCCAATCAATAAATTACTGTTCTCTTATTGGTGGTATCATTACGTCATAGCGACACCAGGCCAACAGTTATAAGAACAGTAATGCTCGTCTATTTCAATTAATCTTCAAAAACCTCCCATTTAAATAGTAAGTATTGTTCATATGTGAATAACTATTATTTTTTTTTAAAAAAAAGCATACTTCACAAAGTTCAGCTTCATGGGATACAATTCTTTTTGTTGATTTCAATTCCAATGACTCAAAAATTCAAAGTGGATAACATTCAAAGATTTCTATGAATAATTAAAATATAAATAATTAGAAGAAGTATAATATTTGATTGATATCATGAACTGATTGATTTTAGACCATCATTGAAAACTTGGCAACACTAGATGGTTGTTTCGTCTCAGTATGTGGCTCTTCAGCAGTGCAGGATCATAGAGGAGTTCCACAATTGAACGAAACGGCCATCCTGTGCTTCTAGCTTTTCAATGGTGGGTGGTCTAACAAATCAATCGGTTCATGGTAACAATCAATAACCTAATGATCTCCATAACCTCATACTGATAAGTGTAATCATTTAACAACATTCTCATTGAGATTAAGTTCAACAAAGAGATTACAAACGATAATACATTAAACAATGGGATAATATTTAATTGTTATGTAGTCAATTTATTAAAAGAATACCATGTGTTGAATATTAATTATTGACATATTGAACATAAATACGAAGCTTTGAATTGACCAATCATGTTTCTTCTCGGATAGTTGTCTATTCAATATGCCTCTTTTTTTCGTTGTTGTTGTTGTTGTCCAAAACTGACCAATCACAAAGAAGAATGATTTTCCCTTAAAGTTTATGGTCATTTGCAAATATCTCAATTACTTTTGTTTGTTTGTTTGTTTGTTACATCCTATTGAAGTTAAACAGAAATGTATCAATATATATCTATTATAGATAATAAACTATTCAATAGGATCTAATATGATGAACGAATCAAGAATATCTTCAAGAACTAGTCAACAAAATAAGAAATTATGTCATCATTTCAATGAAATACGAAAAGATTATTCAATACATGATCTAACAGATGATGATGATGGTGATGATCATAACTATTATAGCCATCATACAATATCTTATTTAGATGATGAATCTACTTCGAAACCAATTCATACCAACTCTTTTAGAAAATCTAATTTCTCTCATTTCTTATTACACAAGGCATTAAATCTTTCAAAAAAACTTAAATATTATATCATGCATAGTATTACATTATTTCATGAAGATTTATATGGTTTATCATGGTCAGAAGCACATGATCGATTACAATCCACTTATGGAATATCTATTGAAACCAATGTAAATATATCATCCAAGAACGGTAGAACATTACGTCATTTTAGTACATCTGTATTACCAAATGATTGCACTACTATTACTACTAATACTACTACTACTAATACTGATGCTAATACTACCCCTATGAATAGAATGTCACGTAGATATTCATTACAAAAACATTCAAGACTTTATCAATTAGATAAACCATATTATATACAATGTAAATTCATTGAACCAAATATAACTCTATATGATAATACAATAAGTACTACAAACAACCCGATGTGTATTAATCATGATTTGAAAAAGAATAATTTGCCAAAAATATCTTTTATTAAAATAAAAAATCAATATCCAATCGATACAATCAATAAACAATTCATCATTAATGATGATCCATTATTAATGAATCATTGTTGTCATAGTAACAATAATGATTTGAATCCATCAAAATTTAAAGAGAATAATAAACATAGAATTGAATATAAAGATTTAAAACACATAGAAACGACAAATAATGTTTTAAATTATCATCATCATAGAGATTATCAACCATTCAAAGATATTAAACATCGGTTGATGCATTTAAAAGAAAGACGACGAAAAACTTCCATGGAATTAGAAGTACTAAGTAATGATAATAATAGGCGAACTCATAAATCCTTATCTAATTGATTGATATTCTATGTAAAACCATCATGATGATGACGATGATTTGCATGATTCGGATGACGACGATGATGATGGTCAAACTCATCTGAATATATTGTACAGTGATCTTCAGTAATATTTGTTCATATGAAATAAAAAATCTTTGATATATGTATAGATCATATGTATTTGGTTTATGAATAAATACTGGTTACTGTTTTGTATTTTTAGTAAGGTTATTATCTATGAGATGGAAATGTTGACCCTTAAGCTCAATCCTCATACTTTACACAGGATTTGGGATTGGCAGTAATCTTAGAATAGTTACATCAAGACAGAACCCAATTGCACAAGTAAGTGGCTATTAGGACTCAGTAGCTGAGTGGATGACGCGATGGCGTTTAGAGAGAATGGCACTGGGTTCGAGTCCCAGAGTGAACATCAACTCTGAGATGCAGGTACATCCAGCTGACGAGTCCCAAATAGAACGAAACGCGCGTCCTGGATTCCACTGCTAGCCACTACCCATCAATTAATGAACATTTTGCAAATAAAGTATTAAAGTATGATCTTTCTATTTTATCAAGTAATTTTATGACGAATATGATCGATTGTCCTCATTTGTGTCCTCGTTTACAACAGCAGTAGTAATAGTGTGGTGAATGCTACTTATATTGCTAGATATCAGTAGTGAGATGATAATGATGATAGTTCGACAATGCAAAGGTGAAATGAAGAGATAATTTGTATTTCTCTACATTATCACGAATTTGTGTTTTGTTTCCTTCCGGTGGTAATGACTACCATGGTGATGTATTATTTGTTCAGACTGACCATCCATGTTTGACTGTTCCGTTTTAGAGAGAAAAGTAAAAAAGCAACATCAAATTCTATATACATAATGACATTTTACTTTGAGTAGTTTTTCATTTATTTATTATTTATTTATTTGAACACATAAATATTGGTACAAGAGAGCGCCAATATATATGCGCTACACAAAACAATGAGAATTAAAAGAAAAAAATGGTAAGGAGCGTAAAAAAAGAGAACAATAACGAAGATATTGGTGAAAGGTAGTGTAGTAATAATGAGGGAACGGAAAGGTACAATCAGAAGAAATCTTTCAGTTAAGGAAGACACAACCACTTTTCATGAAGAAAGTAAAAGAAGGTTACAGCAGGATCGCCACTGGCTTCTATTCTGAGCCATATCTGATAACGTCTCTAGCCACTATGTTGCACCATCTCTCGGACTCCAGCCAGGGAGTCGTGAAGGACCAACACAATCCAGTCCTTGGCAGCTTTCTTTCTTACCACGACACCATGTCATGTACTGACCACCTCTCCGCTTCTTCCAACCAGTCCCAGAGTCGTCAAATAATGCACGACGTGAAATTCTCCGGGACGACAATCGTAGAACATGTCCAATCCACCGAAGTCGGTGTTTCAAGATAGTGACACCAATTGAATTATCATCTCTGTGCCCGAACACACAATGCCGAACCTCTGCATTACTAACATGGTGTTGCTACTGGATGTCAGCAATCCTTCGGAGACAACGATGATCGAACACAGAAAGTCTTCTAACGTTCTCAACTCGAAGAGGTCAGGTTTCACAAGCATAGAGCAGAAATACTCTCACCGACGCGTTGTAGACCCGACCTTTTACAGCCAGACTAACATCACGAAGGCGCCAAAGGTGGCCCAGATTGGCATAAGCCGCTCTGGCTTTCATTATACGTGAATTGATCTCATCACTCACGCCACCACCAGCACTTATGCAGATACCTAGATACACGAACTTCTCGACTACTTCTATCTGCTCACCATCCAGGGTGAGTACAGGATTAGGATCCTGCCAGTCTTGTAGAAGTACTTTACACGTTGAAGGTGCAAAGCACATACCATACCTACGGACACTGATTGCCAACTGATTAAGTGCGGATTACATGGCTTGGGCAATATCGCAAAGTAAGACAATATCATCTGCATACTCAAAGTCGAGAAGGACGTGAGAACCAAGAGAGGAGCTGATATAGCATCAGATCATCACTTGCTGGTCGCCAAGATGAAATTGGAACTCAAGAAGCACTGAACAATGGGGCGGACAATATCACAAAAGTTCAATATGGCCTTTCTTCAGAATACTAACAAACTCAACAAATTCAAGATAGTCCTCAGCAACAAGTTCCAGGCCTTTCATGATCTACTCAATGGAGAAGGAACTACTGTGGAGAGCGACTGAAAGGGGATCAAAGAGGCGATCAATTCAACATGTCATGAGGTCCTGGGTCACAAGAAGCACCATCACAAAGAATGGATCACTGCTGATACACTTGATAAGACTCAAGAAAGGAGGAACAAGAAAGCAGCAATAAATACCAGCCGAACAATAGCAGAAAAAGCCAAGGCACAAGCTGAATACACAAGTAAACAAGCAAGTGAAGAGGAGCATCAGAACTGACAAACGTAAATATTTGGAAGATTTGGCAACGACGGCGGAAAGGGCTGCAAGAGAAGGAAACATGTGTCAACTGTATGACACGACAAAGAAAGTCTCTGGAAATCACCGTGAGCCAGAACGACCAGTGAAAAGCAAGGAAGGCGAGGCAATCACCAACATTGATGAACAACGAAACAGGTGAGTAGAACACTTCAAGGAACTCTTGAATCGACCAGCCACACTGAATCCACCCAGTATCGAAGCACCACACACGGACCTCTCAATCAATGTTGTTCCACCAACAGTTGAAAAAATCAGCATGGCCATCAGACAAATCAAGTGTGGCAAAGCAGCAGGACCAGACACAATTCTAGCAGAGGCACTGAAGATAGACGTAGCGGCCACTGCAAGGATACTCCACATTCTCGTCAATAAGATTTGGGATGAGGAACAAGGACCAACAGACTGGAAAGAAGAACTTCTGGTCAAAATACCAAAGAAAGGCGATCTCAGCAACTGTGGTAACTACAGGGGCATCACTCTTCTCTCAATACCGGGAAAAGTCTTCAACATGGTATTGTTAAACAGGATGAAGGACTGCGTAGACGCCCAACTCCGTAAGGATAGATCGTGTACAGACCAAATCGCAACTCTATGGATCATTGTGGAACAATCAATTGAATGGAATTCATCACTCTACATCAACTTCATTGACTACGAAAAAGCATTTGACAGCGTGGACAAAACAACACTATGGAAGCTTCTTCGACACTACAGCGTACCTCAGAAGGTAGTCACTATCATACAAAATTCATATGATGGATTGTACTGCAAAATCGTGCATGGAGGACAGTTGACAAAGTCGTTCGAAGTGAAGACCGATGTCAGGCAAGGTTGCTTACTCTCACCCTTTCTCTTTCTCCTGGTGATCAAATGGATCATGAAGACATCAACATCTGAAGGGAAGCACGGGATACAATGGACATCTAGGATGCAGTTGTACGATCTAGACTTCGCAGATGATCTGTTTCTTCTATCGCAGTCGCAACAACAAATGCAGGAGAAGACGACCAGTGTAGCAGCAGCCTCAGCAGCAGTAGATCACAATATACACAAAGAGAAAATCAGGATTCGCCGATACAACACAGCATGCACCAATCCAATCACAATTGACGGAGAAGATTTGGAAGATGTAAAAACATTTACGTATTTGGGCAGCATCATTGATGAACATGGTGGATCTGATGAAGATGTGAAAGTGTGGATCTGTAAAGCAAGAGCAACATATTTGCAACTGAGGAACATCTGTAACTCAAAGCAACTGTTAACCAACACCAAGGTCAGGATTTTCAATACAAATGTCAAAACAGTTCTACTGTATGGGGGCGGAAACCTGGAGAACTACGAAAGCCATTATCCAGAAGATACAGGTGTTTATTAACAGTTGTCTACGCAAAATACTTCGGATTCTTTGACTAGGCACTATTAGCAACAACCTATTGTGGGAGAGAACAAACCAGATTCCGACGGAGGAAGAAATCAGGAAGAATCGCTGGAAGTGGATAGGACACACATTGATGAAAGCACGCAACTGTGTCACGAGACAAGTCCTCACATGGAATCCTGAAGGTCAAAGGAGAATAGAAAGACCGAAGAACACATTACGCCGAGAAATGGAGATAGATATGAGAAAAATGAACAAGAATTGGATGGAACTAATTAAGAAGGCGGAGGACAGAGTGGGTTGGAGAATGCTGGTCGGTGGCCTATGCTCCATTAGGAGTAACAGTCGTAAGTAAGTACGTAATTAATCTCTATTTCCCGACGTAATGTGTTCTTTGGCCTTCCTCTTTTCCTTTGGCCATGAGGATTCCGTATGAGGGCTTGTCATGTGAAATAGAACACTGAGACTAGTTGATCTGAATTGGAAAATGTTTATCCTGAATGGATAATCTCAATATTACTTTACAATTACAAGTTTTTAGTATATTCGAATAATAATAATGTATAGAACTGTGAACGAAACCGGTTTGTTTTATTATTGTAACAATTGTATGGAACTTGATCGGTTGATAAATTGAAGCCACTGAGGAATGACAATATTTGTCGAATGAAATGAATTCACAGTCTATATTAATGATTCTTTATTGTTAACTGCAAACAGTCTACAATTATGAGAATTGATATTAGTTGTAAATGAACTTTTACTGATTTCATTCCATGATGTAAAGTTGTAAACTGTACAGGAGGACATGAGTAACAGTGAGAATATACGGGAGCAGGTTGTTCTTGTTACTATTCAACAGGTTTTAGAATCAAACATTTTAATAGACATAATTTGACGATGACCATAATAAGACGATTCATTCAAAATCTAACTTAGTATTGTTTGTAGCGATATCTTTATCTAAACGTTGTTGGTTAGATTGTAGTGTGGCCTCGAGTCGCGGTGGACTATGATCATCACTATAGGAAGACTACGTGCCAGTTAACCGATAAGATCCACCGTAAGCCAAATACCAGAAGGCACTTGATGGCTGTAGTCGAGATTTAGTTGTTGGCGATCTCGTGGTATCGAAAGAATACCGAGATCGTGCCAGGTTACAAGTGTGGTTACTGAGCGTAATCGAATTCGTGCAAGGTCACAATCAACGGAAGAATGTATGTATTTTGGTACAGTTAA